CTCTAGGTTCCAAGTACTATCAGTTTCTATTCATAGTTTCCTGAATCTCCAATGCGGTGGATGTATTTAACCAAGTGGAACAAATGAAACAGCCGAGAGATACAGAGTGTCCATAAGGTCTCTTTACAACTTCAAAGATTTGTTACAAAGGCAAATGAAACGGCAGATGAGTGAAAATTATTACAGGAAAAAGACTTGTATGTTTAAGTTTTCTCTCTTACCTCATTTAATGCAACTAACGGTGTATTAAATGAGACAAAAAAAAAAAAAAAAACAGAACTCTCATTTTGTAATAATTTCCACTCGTCTGTCTTTTCATTTGCCTTCGTAACAAATTTCTGAAATTGCAAAAAAGGACTATAAATACACGAAAATTTGGTTGGCAACACAGGAACGATATTAACCGCGATATTGGTCGCTGGGAATGACAACGTGCGGCGGCATTAGAGCTCTCTAGCGGGCAGGAATGCTCGCGAAACTGCTATTCCGCGTTGTCAGGCTGCACCGTTTACTTCGATTTAACCGAGGCATCCTCCCTTGTAGAACGTAACACGAGGCAACACGCTCCCCTATCCGAACGAAAGTGTAGTTTGCAAATTTCATCGTGTCTCTGTTAACCATTCAGCGCAATCAGGCTCGTGAAAGCCCGGGCGTAATCTCTCGAGGGTAAGCGCGCCAGGAACAGCAGTCGAGTTTTATAATTAAGAACGCGCTGTCGCGTTCGCAGACCTCACTGGCTATCTCGCCAGGTGGATGGAAAATGAAGAGCCTAACTGGCCCAGTGACAGTGAAAAATTCGTCAACAATTCAAACTGATGATAATAGGTTTCCAAGGAGAGGGTCGTTCGACGACACTTCCGATCGTGAATTTGTCTTTTTTCTAGAAATGATTTTTTTGCAACGTATACAAGGTGGAAACAGCGAGGACAGTCTTTCGGTAGAAATTTATCAAAATTGAAACACATCGAAGAAATCCTTCTCGCGACTATATTGCTGTGATCTTGAGGAAATTGAAATTTTTTTCTTTACAACGAGCCCTTTAAAACTTTTTTCTTTCTTTTTTTTTTTTTTGATTATTGAAGTTGGAACAAAATGGATTAGGATTTCTTGAATTTTTCTTATTTAGTAATATTCGATAGTTAACGTTAAATAAAATGGTACGAGAGAAACACGATTTCTGATAATTTCAGTCTTTAAAATGGTGGTAGATCTAGTTACGAAGAGTTCTCTAACATTTTCACGTGTGTTTAATTTGTATAATTTTCGAGGAAAAAAGACTATCGTTATCTTCCCACTTGTTGGACGATGTAAAAGGAATAAACTCACGACTGTCAAATTTAAAGCTGCAAAATGTAACCAGTAAATGAGATTCTGGCTATAGAGAGTCAAAAAATCATGGAATAAAATGACCGATTCGAAAATAGCGGCTTCGCGCTTCGAAACAAGTTCGATCTCATTACTCATACTAATTGCAACAGTTTAAATAAAATCAATTAAATAACAATCTTTCGTCGTTCATGCGAAATATCTTGTAACTTATATGCACATTTTTAAACATATATATACATTTCAAAACTCGCTCAATAGAGTCGTCTCTCGTTATGACGTTCGTGAAACGTGATGTATATTCACGAAACAAATCTCACAAAGTATTCAAACACATTCACACGTGTCGCTTGTAATTATCGCCCAGTCACTTTCGATAATGAAAAAGAAAAAAAAAAATTCTAACAACCCACTTGCGCTGATAACTGATTGCGGACCATAACGAGTGACAAGTCAATCAACAAAGAATACAAAGGATAATTTATAAATTATAATCGACAAATGGGAAGTTATTGGTAAGTTACCGTAATATAAAAAAATAATTCAGACAAAGAGTGATCTACTCATAATCTGGTGTAATGTTCAGATTTATATCACAAAACAATAAATTAGATATATGACAAGTGACAATTTCTTATAAAAAATTATAAATTAATCATTATAAATTTAATCATTCTGGTAGGTTCAGAATTTTCTTTACTCAGGATAATATAGTAATTGCAAGAAGTATTTGTACCTGCTCTTCTTTCTTAATGAACACTTTTTCATCAGATTCTACTTTTCATTATCGTAACATCAAGATTTTGTAAACGTGTCAAAGTATTACTAAATTTAGTACAGTTGAACCTAATCGATCGGTGTATGAGTTTTATGATAAATTCTGTGAAACACTATGTATATAAGATTCATGAATTTTGAATCTTGAAAAATCGGTGAAATTTAAATTGAACTAATTGTTGTACTACCTGATAATACTGTGCATCGTCTTTATAAATTGTAATTTCATTACAATTACAAATTTTAATTGTAAATTTGTAAATGAACAAGGAATACAAAGGATAATCTATAAATTATAATCAACAAATGGAAAGTTATTGGTAAGTTACCGTAATATAAAAAAATAATTGAGACAAAGGGTGATCAACTCATAATCTGGTGTAATGTAAATAATTTTCCTACATTAGATGAACACGTAGAGATCCTCCAGTGGATCGAAAAAGTATTGCCACATCTAGTTCTCTCGCAATATTTTTGTGAAACCGAATAATGCATTAATAAAATCTGCTTCCATAGATTGCTTACCACATGTAAAAGTAACATGCACACTAGCAACTTTCAATAAATTATACAATAACGATACAAGTAATATAAACACTCGAGAGAATCAAATGTAAGACATTTTTAATAGTACTGATTTTAATATTAACAATAATAATAATAATTTTCCGAATGTTAACGCGATATCATTATCTAACGTTCCAGTACTTTGTCATTTTTCTAATAATCTCGTCATTAACCACTTGCGCTGGCAACTGATTGCGGACCGTAACGAGCGACCGAACCGTACACGATAATTCGTCGCTTTCTCTTTGAACTCGTCGGTATAATAATATCACTGGACAGAAATTATCGCGAGGTAACAAACTTATCATTTGTTTCGTTATACTGAAATATACTTAAAACTGCGAAAATATTGCAATTTTGGGACAAAAAAAGGAAAGTCGCACGTGGCACGTCGTTTCCAGCGCAAGAGGAAAACACGTTTCCCATTTGAAACTGTTTGAACTATTTCAAAGCCTGTTTTTCTTTTTCTTTTTTTTCCCCCCGCCCCCATTAGTTTTCATTTGAAACGAAAGCAGCGAGCTATGCGAACGAAGCGGGGTGGGGGAAAACGAACAGAGTGGTTAACTCGGGAGGAGTACAGCGAATGCGGCAAAACTGCGGCGGCTGGATTAAAACGAACCGCAGGTGAGCGCCGCGAAATGACGTGCACCCCTCGCCGGCCGTTTTAATTGAATATAAAATTATTTATGGCCCGGTGGACGTATCAGTTCGGTCGTGGCTATTCGGAGAGTTTCTGCCAAGTTCGTTATCGCCGGCCACTCTGCATTCTAATCTGCGTTCGCGCGAAATGTTCGGGATTATCGGATTTTCGCCGGGCAAACGTCATTAGGCTCGTTCCTGGAAAATTTGAAACGCGAATGTTCGACGGGCGTTTGACGAGCTTCTCCTTTTTCCCTTTTTAGAAACTGCGTGCGAATTTATTTGCACGAGTATGAAGATCTGCAGGTAAGATTGCCGTCACCAGTGTGTTTGAAAGTGTTTGAACACTCGCGGAAGCTTTTCATCAACGCGTCGTGTGAGACACTTTTACGCTATATTGATTTTTTAAGTGACCTTGGGCATGTGCGTGGAAATACATAAATATATATAGAGAATATTTTATTATAGAATGCAGAGATATATGTGCATGGAAGTATGTTATATACAAGAAGATATCTGTTACATATATTTAATAAAAAATTAGTAACCAACGTAATAGGATATTACCATTGTATATTTTGTAATTTTTATAGATCTGTAGATCTGTTTCATATTTGGCTAACATAGTCATAATTAATCTGCAATATTCTTCAAAACGTTTTATGTAACATTTGCGTAATATATTAGCGAGAATTTCAGTAAAGTAGTGCGTAAATCACACTACACTCGGGTTGACTAATGTTTCACTTGAAAGTATGAAACGCTAATTTTTTCACAAATTTCCGCGGAACACCATCAGTTTTAAAGATAATAAATTTCAGGGGAAAAATAGAATCTAATTAAGCATTCTGAGGCTGTTCTTGCATTCAAAAGTACAATTGCAAATTTAAAATTAATTTTCTAGTCATTATAATAAAATTAATTTCCTAGTCGTATACATGATGCCCCGTTTTAATTTATAAATTGGCTTCTAAATTATTTCTTGTTCGAAAAACTATTTTAAAAAATCTTTTTATATTTCGAGAGGGGAGTAATTCGTTTGCAGTTGGAGAAATTTTTGAGATTTAAAAATCAGTCTAACTTTTCTCAAATAGAATCCTATATATTTTTATACGTCAATCGATACATTTGTCAAAAATGACATTAGCCTACTTATGCCGAGAAAGTATTGCAACTTTAATTTTGTAAAATTTATGCATGAAAGATGAGGAAACGCAGGGATAGTATTTTTCTGTCCATACTGCGCAGATTTTATGAAACTAAAGTTAAAATAAACTTTTTTTTATAAAAAATAAAATCGATTGGCGTATAAAAAAACCATAAATACAAGATTCCATTTAAAAAAGAAAACCTTGAATGTCTCCGGAATGTCTTCATCTACAAGCAAACCTTCAAACTTCGCCTCCGAAACGATTTTTCTCGAACGATTGAAAAAGAAATATCATATTTATGAAGTATGTCTTGATTTTTATTTCTCAAAAAATAGTTTGTCATTACACGAAGCGGAAGTGAAACGAATTTTCACCGAAGTTTGCCTGACAGCTGACGTCTGGACGCTGTTTACGAACGTTTGCGCAGAACGAAATAATAGAATCGCGACCGACACCGTTAAAAAATCGTAGATGCGCGATATTTTTGACAGTCGAAAAATACGAAAATAAGAGGAATAATTGCGTCTGCTTTTCACTCACCCTGGAATTCCTTCCTGGCCGCGCTGACGGATGTTACGATGTTGGCCACGTGTCCGAGCACCGTGGCGAACAGCAGCAGACCAAACAGCAGCTGAGCTATCACAAACAAATACTCGCCCTTGCTTCTCGGTCTGCAAATGAAATGGCAAATGGAAAATTGTTGATTTGTTGAACACGTGATGAACGTTTCGTACGAGTATTACGAAGGAAATGGTTAATTTTCGTTAGAAATGAAGTTGTACACATTCTCAGCCTGCCAATATGGATTTGTTCACGATGATTAAGTTCCAAGATAAAATTCATAATGAGAAGTATTTAGTGTCGCACAAATTAAGAATATTTATATGTTATATTTTATATATATATATATATATGTATAATTTTTATATATTTTATATATAGTGATGATTTTTCTAATTGTGTTACGCTTCCTTCGTAAGAGTACAATTTCGGAGTTTTCAGTACTTATTAACCATTTACTTTAATTTTCGTAACTGATTTTACGAATCTACACACGTAAAAAAAATAAAAGTAATAAAAATATTGAAAATATTCCAACAATTTCTATTTTTTTAAAACTTCTTAGAGTACGTATTTAAATAAATGAGTTCTTATGATTTCTTACACTATATTTTAAACTTTTAAAATTTAAAATTCTTATTCTATATTTTATAATAAAATACATATTTTAAAATTTTATCTAATTGTATCAGTGAGTGACTAGCTTTGAAGTTACTTAATTTTATTACAATTATTTTCTCATTTATATTGTTAATATAATTCTATTAATTTTACATATTATATATTACATCATTTTTAGTTGATATAATTCTAGTAATTTTATATATTATATATTATATTATTTTTAGTTAATATAATTCTATTAATTTTACATATTATATATTATGAATTATATATGAATTATATTCTGTACAATAATAATTACTATTATTAATAACTCTATTGTATTCAGCAGCATTAGGCTACTCAAGGAATTCTTTTATCTAAACTACAATTTCATTAACGAGACATACACAAAATATCAATGTCATTGATATAATATACTCTAAAGTATAACATATGAAACGCTCTTCGCCAAAAAGAAAAAAATATATATTAGCAAAATTCAAGAAATTAAACAAATAAAAATAAATCAAGTGAAGAAGAAGAAGAAGAAACAGACGAATGAAGTCAAAAAGAAACAAAGAAATAAAATTAAGAAGAAGAAAGCGTGCACGCGCTTCGACAATTTCACTTTCAATTTCGTGGAGAAACGAATGAAATTACTCTGCAAGCCACTATGCAAGGAATCAAAGCGTCGGCAACTGAATGAAATTATCATGTCTCTCGTAGCAATTTTAATTGCACGACAAACTTGTTATTCACCCGTTATTACGTTCGAGATTCTATCAAAACTTCTTCTGATTATCCCGCGGAACGAAGAGCGAACGGAAACAATGCAACGAATTACGGAAGACGGGAAATGAAATTACCTGGGGAGATCGCCGATGGTGGTGAGGGCCAGCGTGCACCAGTAGTAGCTCTGCAAATATTGTTTCACAACGTCCGCGGTCTCCGAGTCGCTGAATACCCAGTTCTTACTGCCGAAGCCGTTGTTCTTATAAATAATGTGATAGAGGCACCCGTTCCAGTGAAAGATCACCAGTAAATAATGTATCAAGGATGTGGAGCGGAATAAATTCGGATAGTTGGTATGTCGCTCGGTTCTGTCCATGAACGCCCAGAACCTGTTTGAAATATAAATTTTATATTATGTACGATATATATATATACCATATTAATACTATATATATATATATATATATATATATATATATATATATATATATATACACACAATAATAATAATGAGATACAATATGTTATACTATTGTTATGGTCAAGCTATCAAACTTTGTTGCTTTCCTTGCAGAACACCCAATTTATATTCATATGTATATTAGTATCACAGTATGATTAAAGTATTATAATATAACATGATTATTATTAATAATTCATATGATATTATATATTAATATTATATTAGTGGAATTGACACTAAAGAATATATATATATATAGTATTAATATGGTCTATCATTGAATACTTAATATTGTGTAGAATATTATACATTAATACAGTTGTAATGTATTATAATATTATATAAGTTGATAATTGGGCCAAGTTTTGCAGAAAGTACGAACCCTTAAAATAAAAAAAAATTAATTGAACACAATAAAGACGTCACAAATTGGTGATTTTTATTTTGCAAAGATTTACCAATTTATAAAGCAAGTTTGTAACTCTTAACACTAGTTAGCTAAGTTATAGTTCCATTCTAAACTTGTCTATTCATTGTACTATTATAGCGTATATTAGAATTCTATCGTCTGTATCAGTCATTATAAATTAAAAAAACTTTATAAAATAAAATAAAATTAGAAATACAATACAATAGAATTCAATTAGAATTCAAATACAATACAATACAATTCAATTAGAAATACAATAGAACTCCACTTGTATATATGAATTTTACGTTTTATTTTCAATCAAACTTTGGATAACGTCCAATTGAACGAATTCTCGCTGGTTGAGTTCATTTACTTGAATCTAAACTTCTGTTACATAAACGAAAAATCGCCAGATAGAATAGAGAAGAAAATTAGCTATTTGTTGATTACAATTCTTTTTTTAAATTCAAAATCTTCAAAGTAGATTTACTCAATTAATTGGTCTAATATATGTAGTTCGTATTCTGCATAACTTGGCTCAATTCAGTGAGAGATTCAAGTCACACTCACCGATATATTTTTACGAGCCTAAAACTTCGAAGTATACTGTTGAATCCTATAGATAAGTATAAAAAGTCGAGAGGCAGCAGGCACAGGATGTCCATGTAAAACGTAGTACTGTTTGTGTAGTGATTTCGCAGCTTCGTCGCGTCTGTTTGTAAGACACCGTCCTCTAAGTATCCCGTTCGAATGTGAAATACTATGTCCAGTACGTATAAAAAATCGGAGAAGTAATCCAAGCAGAACCACACCCAACGCGTTTCCCCTAGATAACAAAAAATTTCTCTTATAGATATAACATGCACTTTCGAACGATCAAATTTTAAAATTCTAATACTAGTTTCTTCTTTTTGTTTTTTTTTTTTTTTTTTTTTTTGATCAATCAAACGTGGTATTTAAATTTTGGAGTGATTAAAGACACAGTTGGATTGTAAAGGAGACAAGTGAGTAAACGCAAATTATGACTACGATTATTTATACTAAATGCATAACATTTTATTGTCTTTCTTTTTATTGTAGCAAATGTAGCAAATATTTCTTCATTAAAATATTATCTCTTCTATTCAAAATAGTATATTACTATTGATTTTTTAAAGTGTTTAACCTATCTGACAGAAGTGTACAAATTAATAAATTTACTAATATACAAGGTTCAAATTGTATTGTTGAATGCAAGAATAAAACCCATTCTATGCTAATGTATAATTCAAATTAATGACACTGCTAAGAAGAAATATTGCATTTTTTAATATTACAAACAATGACTTCGAATTACACGTAAAAAATATTACCTCCATATTTGAAAACCTACACTAAAGGAACTACGGACAATTGAACTATTCAGAAGCGTTTTGCTCAACTTCATAAGTTGAAAAGCAAAATTTTAAAAATCTTAAAAGTGAAGCTAAATTTAGCACTACTTGTGTCGTCTTCCTGGACACAAACAAAACATTTGTTTCCTGGCAATGAAATAAAGAGGCTGAATTGAACTACCAGCAGGCTGGGTCAATCTCTTCATTAACAAGGGAGATTCGCCTTGACAAAGTACATCTCTTTCCACCCCCTTTTTTGTAAAATAAAAGGTTCACATTCAATTCAGACAATGTGACTGACTCGCAAGAGGAAAAAGGACTAACCGTTTATCTCTTGGAAGGCGAACCTGTAGATGATGACCCAGAAGTTGTAGAGAAAGGCAAGGGAGACCACCATCGACCAGTAATAACAGAGACGTCCCGCGGGATCGAAGATGAAGGACCAATTAGGAGCACCCGTACGAAAACCCTTTGTTCCCGCTTGTCCAGGATAGCCTCTGCTACCGCGTTGTTGCTGTTGCTGCTGGACCGTATATCTCCTGCAAAGAAGCAACGACACAACGACTTATGAAAGGCTACAGAAACGTCGTACAGGTAACAAATACGTTCGCCATTTATTGTCAATACTTCTTTATTGCTTTGTTCCTCCTTAGCCACTGATCTTTTTACGTATGCATTACACGTGATACATTTTGATGTCAGATACATGAAACATAATGGACACCAGCTAATATGTATGTTAATTAATTTAGTCCAAGTATATTCTGTTATATAACTGTTCTGTTATTTTCTATTGTACATTTATTACATCATTAATTAATTTAGTCTCTTCATGTGTATGAAATTTTCTATTACTTGATAGTGTATAATTGTAATAATTTGAGATTGTGCTTTGTTAGGAAACTCTTTAAATATTTATAACTATTGTAGATATAAATGTGTATTAATATTGATTGTGGAGTTTCATACATTTGTGCAAGATTAAGAATTAATATGTAAAGTATCTGAAGTATATGTTATTGGTGTGATCCAATATATCATCATCAAATCTAATTACAACCTGAGTATAGTTGTATGTAGCTATAGTATATATAATTAATATGGTATATAGTATGTATTAATATAGTATGTATTAATATAGTATATATAATTAAAAGCACTAGAATTTTTAAGATTTAAATTCAAGTATTTTTCCTTTTCATTGATTATTTGTAATTAATAATTTGTATATTAGTAATTTGTATATTTTTGTGATTATATTTTTAATTCATTTATGTATTATTATTTCACATCAACGACAAATTCAGTCATTGCAACATAATACAAAATCCTCAGTAGTTTTATTTAAAAAGATTTAATAAACTGATTTAATAATGAAACAGATTTATTAAATTTGATTTAATAAATTGATTATTTAATAATCAATTATTCTGCAATCACAGAAAATATTACTTTTTGAGGCAAATAATATTTGCCTTTCTCATCTTTTCCATCATCGAAAATAAATGTATTTTATAGTCAGATTATAGAGACATACATGGATGGGGTAGATAAAAATAATTTTCAAATAGTGTAGTAGCAAGATCTTGTGACCTTAATATCGTCTGGGAGAGTCTTAACGGGCTATTGTATGAGACGGTATAATGATAGAAGTATAATGCTGTTTCCGAAATGAAAGAAGCGATTTCATTATATAATGCCGAGGGAGCTTGGATAAAAATTATAAAAAGAATTTTTATGGACAAGAATTCTTCCAAAGCAAACTTCGTATTTGATAATATAATTTAATTTTAATATTAATTTTCCAATTAATATAATTTAATCTAATTCAATCTAATATAGTATGTTGGAATTTATTGCTTCGTCTTATTATACAATTCTCTTCTGTGTATAAGCATTTATAAATGAAAACCTACGTGTGCATCAATTTGAAGATTGTAGATTGAAGATTGTAGTAACAACAAAAGGTACGTTTATCATTCGTTGCAAAGAAGAAATTTTTTAATTTTGGTGATTAGTACATGTTCTTTCATGCTAATTTTTGGCAATTTTTAAATACGACCACATCGTGTTTTATCTCTGTGATATCTTGTTATTATCATCCAATGACAATAAAATATTATATTATTATCATAATTATCAGTATCATGCACGTGCAATTAATTAGAATATCTCACGTAAAAATGTCACCTATTCTACACGATTGATATCAGAATTTGGTATTGCATGTCAAAATTTTTGCATTACAAAAAATATATTTACAAATTAATTTAAAACGCAGATGATAAAAAGAAAGAAGTTGTGAAAGATTGCATTTATCTGACTAAAGGCTGAAAGCGAATTTAGATCTTCGGGGTCGCAGAGAAATTCGAAATTTTGAAAATTAAAAATTTCAACGCGAAATTAAGCAGGGGGAGGGGGGGGGGAATTAAAGTAAACTCTCCGCGGGAAATTTTAAATATATCTAATAGCTGACGACAATACTGATTGTAAATGCTGAAAATAAATATGAAATGTAAATATAAAATGTATATAAGACGTACGTACGTATATGATATTAAAATCGTTAAAGACGTACGTACGTGTATGATATTAATATAAATATAAAATATATAATATATATATATAAATATAAAATATAATTTAATATAAATATAAATATAAATATAAATATAAAATATATATAATATATATATATATAAACATAAAATATATAGTATATATATAAACATAAATATAAAGTAAAAAATAAATAAGAAAATAGAAAAAACCATCGATAGTGATATTGGCAACATATGACCGGAGCTATCGTAGTACCTATCCGAAAAATACAGGTTGGTCTTTTATACATTAAAAAAAAAAAAAAAATAGCCGTATTTGCGACATAATCCATGTTGCTAGTATTACCGTATCCTGATCGTTTCAGTTCACAATTTAACTCGCGTGGTCGTTGCATCCTACAACGCGCGCGCATTCGACACTATCACGTTGTGTAAGCGTTTGTTACTAGATATTTACTGCCCCAGGTTACCATCGAATCGTACACTTCCTGCCGTCGAACGCAACGCCCCTCTGAATACTGGTCAACAAAAATTACAGACCTGGTTTACGATACGTAAACGCTATTTTACGTCGATGCGGATAGATTCCGCGTAACCCAGCCATGTCACGTGCGATATCGGGACGAACTTGACTCGAATGCAGCAACAGAACTTTCTGTTTGTTTGGCTTTCGCCTAACTGACTCAGCTCGCATAACTTGGTGCGCGTGTATGCGGTTAAATATTTACAGGATATTTTTATAACGATATCACGTGTATCACGTGTATTGTGCGGAACGTCGACACTGATCTAGCACGATCTGTCAACCTTGAAAGAAATTGAAGAATTAGACGAATATTTTATGAATCCAGGGTGAAATTTGCAAGGTATTTGATACAATATATTAATACTGTGTTTAATAAGATTCGATTACACTTGCCAACATTGGAAGATATTTAAGAAGTGAAAATCTAGAAATTGGAAAGTATTTCGTATAAAATGTTATATACTGTGCTTAATATGATTCGATCATCACGATCATGTCTGACTGAAAGAAATTCAAGAAGAAGAAAAATGTTTTGTAAATCTAGATAACTACAAGGTATTTAATGTCATCTTCGAATGGTGAATGTTGGAGTTGGCAATTATTGAATAGAAAATATTATAATAATATAATATAAATAAAAATATTATAATAATATAATATAAATAAAAATATTATAATAATATAAAATAATATATAATAATATTATAATAATATAATATAAATATTATAAATATAAATTTACTTAAAATACAAATATTATAATATAAATTTATTTAAAATATAAGTATTATAAATATAAATAATATATAAATAATATAAATTTATTTAAAATATAAGTATTATAAATATAAATAATATATAAATAATATATAATATATAAGTAATATAAATATAAATAATATATAAATAATATATAATATATAAGTAATATAAATATAAATAATATATAAATAATATAAATTTATTTAAAATCTAAATACAATAAATATAAATTTATTTAAAATACGAATATTATAATAATACAATATTACTGAATGAAGAATATTATAAAATTATATATCATTTGATACTTTTAAAGGAACATTTACCCTCGTTTAAATCATAATTATTAAACTTCAGTTGAATTAAAAATAGAAAAATACGTAATGAAGAAAAGAAGCAATGTAATAGCAATGTGTTTACAATGTAACGCTCACGCGCCAATGGAAACCAACACTACGTTGCGGTATCAAACGCAACACGGGCATAATTTCATAACGAGCTGGGAGCTCGATCGCCGAAAAATATCCGATACTCACGTCTCGGTGCCGTTGCAGCTGCTCTGGCTCAGATGATTGACGGATGCGGGGGTGTGCAGGTGCGATTGGTCGCGCGAAGGCGTGAGCGCCACCGTGTACGGCAGTTTGAATCTACCCCTGAGCTGGTCCCTCCTCTTCGGCTTGCGGCTTAGGTCGAATTCACTCGCGCCACGATTCACATAAGCCCCTTGAAGCGAGTCGCGGGACGAGCTGAAATACCGCTGCGGCACCGAATACACCTGTAACATATTTGCTGGATTTGTCAACACGTTCGCCTTCATCGACTTTACGAACGTGCACACGCGCACACACATGTTATATAATAATCGGATGCTCGCGTAATTTGCTTCTTTTTTTTTTTTTTTTTTTATCTGCTTTGTTTTTTTTCAATCCACACGAGCCTTCTTCGACTTCGTGATTAGAAATAAAATCTCGATAGTGTGATTATTATTAGATAAATTAATTTAATAAGCAGAAATTTACTCTCCGCTGTTGAATGTTAAAGCAGGCACTTTCGATATTCGTATATACAGGGTGTTCCGTCATTTCGTGGTTCAGCGGCTGCATGTCGAAGAGAAGGAATAAAATTTTTGAAGCCTTTGTTTTCGAGAAAAACGAATTTGAAAATTTAAATTTCTAATTCTAGACGTGACAGGAAAGAATAACCGGCAGAAGGTTACTCTACGCGCAAAGATAAGTAAAAAAACGTACGATGAAATTTTTTTCGTCTTCGAGAAAATCGAGTTTGAAGATTGATCAGGTACGCGTGCACTTAAAATAATTTTTCAAAGTTTATTTTCTTTCACTTTAAACGAAAAAATCTTTATTCTACTCTTTTTTAATAAATATTCTCGTCGCGATCATTTGCAACGTGTTTGGTATGGAATTGGCTAAATTTAAGTATAGTTGATGAATTTTCAAACTCGATTTTCTCGAAATGGAAAGTTTCAATGAAAAAGTTTTATTTTTTTCTGTTTCGACACATTTTTATACGTTTTACATAATACATCACCTTGTATAATACATTTTGTATGTTTCAATATTTATGGAAATACTGATTTGCCATAAAAAATATAGAAAATTAGAATTATTTTTTAAAATTTACATTCAGGCTGTCCTTTCGTAGAAGATAAATTCATAGCAGAAAGTCTTATTTTTTGAAATGTTGAATATCAATTAGATAAATATAAATTTCTCGTAATTATATAAATTATATAAAGTTTTCATAATTCGAGTAAAATTTCTGGATATGTTATTTGTGTCTAATTAAATAACTATAAACAACATATACTAAACAAAACTACACTAAACTAAACATACACTAATGTATTGTAAACATTAATCGTGACAAAAAAAATTTAGCTACAAGTCTTAAAAAAATATTCTTTGGTGAAGCAATTCTTTAAAAAAGACTACATATTCAATATTTACAGTTTTTTTTTTTTTTATAGATTTCGTCATTTTCACAGAAACTTTCAACAGATTCTGAATGCTGCTATAAGCCAAGTTAGATTCAGAATTTAAAAGTTAGTACGTCACGTATAACAATTAATTCTGCAATTGATCAAAGTATGATCCTTCTACAAACAAAATGAAAACAAAATTTATAATCCTAGTTATAATTCAGATTTTTGGGGATTTTCTATCAAAAAAGGAGATCGTACGAAAGTTGTAATAACCTTTGGAAACACTGATGCGATCAATTGCGGAAGTTTGATGTCATGAATTGTAAAATCCTTAGTGTTACATTACATTTGCAAATCTCTTCAAAATGTAAATGTAGACGTCAAGGAGGAAACTCTGAAGGAAGTCCCAGAGTATGAATTCTGAATGTTTGTGGAGAAGAATCGTGTGAAATTTAACAAAAATAAATGGTAAGAACGTTTGGACAATGATGGATGAGTTTTAGTTGTTGCTCAGAATAAGTCTCATTTTTGCTAGGGAAGATGAAAGTTTGTAACGTTGGAATGAGCGTGGATGTCGAAATTGGAAAATTATTCAGTTCGGTGATTGATCGAGCGGATCTGTAATGAATCAAGAAAATGGACGGCGATGGTGAGAAGTTTGATTTGAAAGCATTTTGTGCGAAAGATAATGTAATCTTGCAATAGGTAGAAATTGAAACCTTTAACATATTATTGCAATGTATGTAAAATATTTGTTTTCATCAAGAATTCATTACCACTTTCTTTTCCTATTATTTAATAGACATTTCTTTAAAATGATAATGCACCGTCTGGAATTTAAATTATTTAGTTACTTTAACAAATTTAAATCATTTATTTGTTACTTTAACTGTTGATAAATGAGAGTGATGTTAAATATATACTGATATAATTAATCAGAAAGGGACAAAAATTATATTTTTTTATTTTCCTTCTGTGTATAAAAGAAATATATACTGATGAAATTAATCAAAAAGGAACAAAAATTATATTTTTCTATTTTCCTTCTCTGTATAAAAGAAATATATACTGATGAAATTAATCAAAAAGGGACAAAAATTATATTTTTCTATTTTCCTTCTGTGTATAAGAGAAATATATACTGACAAAATTAATCAAAAAGGGACAAAAGTTATATTTTTCTATTTTCCTTAGTTCAGATTTATATTACAAAACAATAAATTAGACAATTTTTATAAAAAATTATAAATTCATCATTTTAATCATTCTGGTAGGTTCAGAATTTTCTTTACTCAGGATAATATAGTAGTTGCAAGAAGTATTTGTACCTACTTTTCTTTCCTAATGAAGCACTTTTTCATCAGATTCTACTTTTCATTTTCGTAACATCAAGATTTTATAGACGTGTCAAAGTATTACTAAATTTAGTACAGCTGAACATAGTCGACCAGTGTATGAGTTTTGTGATAAATTTTGTGAAACACTATGTATATAAGATTCGTGAATTTTGAATCTTGAAAAATCGGTGAAATTTAAATTGAACTAATTGTTGTACTACCTGATAATACTGTGGATCGTCTTTATAAATTGTAATTTCATTACAATTATAAATTTTAATTGTAAATTTGTAAATGAACAAGGAATACAAAGGATAATCTATAAATTATAATCAACAAATGGAAAGTTATTGGTAAGTTATCGTAATATAAAAAATAATTCAGACAAAGGGTGATCTACTCATAATCTGGTGTAATGTAAATAATTTTCCTATATTAGATGAACACGTAGAGATCTTCCAGTGGATGGAAAAAGTATTGCCACATCTAGTTCTCTCGCAATATTTTTGTGAAACGAATAATGCATTAACAAAATCTGCTTCCATAGATTGCTTACCACATGTAAAAGTAACATGCACACTAGCAACTTTCAATAAATTATACAATAACGATACAAGTAATATAAACACTCGAGAGAATCAAATATAAGACATTTTTAATAGTACTAATTTTAATATTAACAATAATAATAATAATTTTCCGAATGTTAACGCGATATCATTTTCTAACGTTCCAGTACTTTCATTTTTCTAATAATCTCGTCATTAACCACTTTCGCTGGCAATTGATTGCGGACCGTAACGAGTGACCGAACCGTACACGATAATTCGTCGCTTTCTCTTTGAACTCGTCGGTATAATAATATCACTGGACAGAAATTATCGAGAAGTAACAAACTTATCATTTGTTTCGTTATACTTAAATATCCTTAAAACTGCGAAAATATTGCAATTTTAGGACAAAAAGTTCTCGACGTGCGTGGCACGTTATTCCAGCGCAAGAGGTTAAGCATCTGAAATGGCAAGCAAGTCGATACTTTCTTGACACTCTTGAAATTTCTATACCTCTCGTATTACTATCGTACAACTCATTATCATTATGTGCATGTTACTTTTGAACGTAGTGAACGCAAACAGATAGTTTCACGACGATCTCGCCAAGAAGGAAACTCGTGCCAATATTTTTTTCTGACCCATCGATATGAGATTGACATACATGTTCCTCGATGCTCGAAATTCCAATAAGTAGCACAGTTTCGTTCTTTAAGACCCTGCACGGTCAGTACGTAACGATTGATCGAAGATCCAACAGTTTTAAACAAAGCGAATCCGAGAAACCAGGGGATCGAAGTCAAATGGGTTCCTCGAGGGAAAGTTAGAGTGGCCGTTTCGAGAGGCTGATATAGACAATTTATTTGATTAAGAGCGGACTTCCGTCGTGTCTTTCTTTTTGTCAGGTCTCTCTGTTTAAATTCTTCTTCGTTTTTTTCCTTTTTTTTTTTTTTTTATTCATTCCTTCTGTCCCTCGTTTCTTTCTCCTTTCTCCTCCTCTTCCTTTTCTCTCGCTGCTCCTCGTTTGGAATGAAAATTGTTTCTTCTCTCAGTGATTACCCAGATTCCGACTTGGACACTGCTTTTTGTGTAACTCTCGTGCGGACAATGGAGGGATCGTCTTGGTTGACACAATGGCACTGGCGAAGGAAATTAAGAGACAATACGATGCTCGAAAAGAATGGAAGGAAAAAGAGTACGGAGATGACACGGTCGGGCGAGGCATCCGAATGAAATCGCGTAGCTAAAGGTCAATCCGAGATTCGAAGGATCTCCGAGTACAATGTGACAAAAGTGAAAATGTTCGAATTGACGGGGCTTCATTTTCAACAAAAGAATTTTAATGAACAGCCGCGTTAAATATAGAAATGAATTTGCATCGAAGAAACTCGAGAAAAAAAAGGTGGAACATGACAGGATTATTCCTTCTTTTCAGTTCAGATTTTATACCAGTGTAAAGTTCCTTTAATTTAAACGTGATAAAGTAAGTATTTCAGGGATTTCTTTATCACGTAAGAAGTAATTAAGAATTTTCTTAATAAAGAAAAAATATGGTTGAGACTAATATATTACTCTTTAATGAAACAATCAATGCGTAATTTTACACAAGTTTAAAATTGTTTTTAAAATGTTTAAAAATGAGTTCAACGAATGTAACTTTGACTTGAATGTACTGTTTACTGAAGTAGATTTTTGTTCAACAATTTTGATACGTATGGATCATTTAAATTGTACTGAAAATTTTACTAAAAACAAATAATTACAAATATTTAGAAATATTCTATTGTTGAAATAATTTTTAGTACTTCACTTACAAATGTCTAACTAAATAGGAATATTTAAATTAAAAGAAAAGCAACGTATCAGCTTGGAAATATATAAAAAAGAAATTTATTAACAATTACAATGTTATTTCGAATAAAAGTATTTAATTCAGAAATTAATTTTCCAAATATAAAGAAATAATCGTGTTTTATTGATTGATCGTCCAATGTTTGAATAATTTCCACTGTTACTTTATTTATAAAGCAATATTTTTGTCTAAAAAGATGTCTATATGCAAGATGATTTGTATATATGCACAAACAACATTATATTTAAATTTGTAAAAATGTATAAAAATTATAATAAACGACACAGATTTAAATATCGGAAAATTAAAGATTAATAACAGAAATATGAAAGCGTTCTTTAACAATTTTCGACATTAAAAGATAATGCTAAATCCTAATCAGTTACGCAATGAAAAACAACACGCAGACACAGATTAAAAAAAAAAAAAAAATAATTAATCAACGACAACAAATACGAAGAAATTAACAAATCACGAGCAACGTGAAAACCACGACAGTGATTTAACATTTGTATAATGATTGGTATATTTACTACTAAAGAACACAATTGTCTTTGACGTTTGATCAACTGAAAATTAAATCGGACAAACTCAAGAAAATGTCGAGTTCAATTTAACTTTAATTCAACGAGCTACATCATTCCTACGACGTAATTAGCGAGCACGTAACTGCACTATTAATTACTAGACCGGAAACGAGTAAATATCAAACAATAAATAAATTCCACGGCCCGCTGTCATTAGAGCAGTTGTTTCCCACGTCGAGTTGCAAATATACATGTGGTTTTAACGCTGCTGCGGTTGCACGTGTTTTCATGTAGGAGTACAATCTAGTCGCGTGTGCATAAATGGCCCCCATAACGTCAAATAAATCGCGAATACCGCGTGTCGGGAACACTAACGGACGATGGAGCGTTTATTCGAAGCAAATGCTCTCGCGATATTTCTCCCATCGACACGATAAACAGATTCTGCACGCGTTCACGTCTTATGAGAAAGATAAAAAAAAGGATCGTCAACGAAAATTCGCAAGTATGTTTTCATAAACGAATTTTGAGTATATTATTCTCGAGGAGATCGCGTTAACGTAAGTATTGTGTAAGAAAACGTGTGTATTTCATATTATTAAATTTTATTAAAATTAATATACCTTAAATTTTTGATTAACTTCTGCAACTCATTTTATTAATTTATTAATTTTATTAGAATTAATATAACTTAAATTTTTTATTAACTTCTGCAACTTATATCTGTTGCATCGAATTTTTATGCAGCATTGAAGGAAAGAAAGAAAGTATTAATTAGTCATTTTTATATTAATTTTCTTTTTGTCAATACCAATATCAACCTATCGTGAAATGTATATTGCGTCTGTTGATTGCTTTTGTTGAACATTTTATAAAAATTACGTCTCATAGGAAATGATATTCATTTGCTTGAGCTGCTTTGAATACGCATCTTCGAAAAGATGATAAATTGAATGAATAATTGTAATATAATGATTCGAAGGCAATTCAATGTGAAAACGATCATTATCTGTAACGCTGACGACATATCTTGTTGTCAGAAATGTCAAAAATATGTTAGAAAAATAAATGTTACAAAGCCTCGTCTTTCTACTTGTACATATGTACGTGCTGTAAATTATTATAACACTTCATAAGAAAAATGTGTCAAATTGACAAAAGAAACGAATGAGAGTTAAACACTCTGTTATTAAACTGACACGAACTCTACTATTAAAAATACAAAATTTATTATCAATTAATTATAAATTATTGAACACACGATCTAAATAAAAAAAAATCACACTATTATTAAATTCCACACAAAGTTTACTAAAAACATGTTTAAATATTACAAATTATTAATGGTTACTACTATTAATAGGTACACTAGTGTATAGTACATTATTAGTAGTGTACAAACTATTAAACACATAGTTTAAATATCAATTAATACAAACTGTTAAATACATTGTTAACGAAAAACCAGACTGTTACTAAATTGACACGAAGTTTATTATTAAACAATATTATCGATCAATCAATATAAACTATTAAACACATAACTCAATGAAAAGCCACGCTATTATTAAACTGACACGAAGTACTATTTAAATTTTTAAATTTAGTTTACTATTTAAAAAATATAAAGCTTATTATCAATCAATATAAGCAATATAAGCAAAAATTAATAAATATATATATATATAATATATAAATATTAACATATATATAATATATTAATTTTATAAATTATATAAATATATATATATATAATATAAATATTAACATATATATAATATATTAATTATATAAATTATATAAATATATATAATATAAATATTAACATATATATAATATATAAATTATATAAATTATATAAATATATATATAATATAAATATTAACATATATATAATATATTAATTATATAAATTATATAAATATATATATAATATATAAATTATATAAATATATATATAATATATAAATTATATAAATTATCTAAATATATAGATAAACCATAATTAATATAAATCAATTAACATAATGATTGACAATATTATTATCAATTAAACACGACATCGAAACGAAAAACCACGCTACTGTTAAACCGTCAGAAACCATGAAGTTTATTATCAATTAACACACTCTCGATCTGAACGAGAAGCCACACGATTGTTGAATTGATCCTCATTCACGGAACACGCATCGAAATTGATCCCGTATGTAGAATGAATTAGACGTATGTACATTGTAACGTAATTAGTAACAAGCAACAACTAGCGGCAACGAATGAAACTCTCTCCGATGATAGATGAACTGGCAACGAGCGACGAGTATATTGTACTGACCTGCTGTTGCTGATGATAATAATGATGCGTAGGCGTGTGGCGGCTCATGCATTTACTGCTGACCAGTTCCAAGAGACTCTGCCTGGAAGGTATCGCACCCCTCGACACGTTGTCCGCGCTCTTCGTGTCCTCTTCTTTCTCCCTTCTGATCATCGTCTTCCCATCGAACATCCTCCCTTGCTTGTCCTCGCGGTACTTCTCACCCCCGCAGCTCAGAGCGGAGGCGGAACCGCCGCTGTACCGGTCTCTACCCCCGCCGCCACTTCCTGTGATTATGACTGCAAACGACAAACGATATTTCCTTTTTAGAATTGTGATTATAGTATTAATTATTAACATATATGTATTATTAATTATTATTTAATAATTATTATACAATTTATTGTTATATATTATTATATACATTATTAATTATTATTTATTAATTATCAATTATAATTAGAAAAATTTTTACAATTTATTTCGTTTTTCAAAGATTACTATATTATATAAATTACTATATTATACAAGATATAATATAGTAGATACTATAAATTACTATATTATACAAGATATAATATAGTAGATACTATAAATTACTATATTATACAAGATATAATATAGTAAATACTATATTATATAAGATATACTATATTAAAGATTACTATATTATATAAATTACTATATTATACAAGATATAATATAGTAGAGACCATATTATATAAGATATACTATATTAAAAATTACTGTATTATATAATTATTATATATATAATTATTAGAAAAAAATTTTACTCGCTATATTATATAAATTACTATATTATACAAGATATAATATAGTAGATACTATAAATTACTATATTATACAAGATATAATATAGTAGATATTATAAATTACTATATTATACAAGATATAATATAGTAGATACTATATTACATAATTATTATATATATAATTATTAGAACAAAATTTTACTTACTATATTATATAAATTACTACATTATACAAGATTTAATATAGTAGATGCTATATTATATAAGATATACTATATTAAAGATTATTATATTATATAATTATTATATATATAATTATTAGAAAAAAATTTTTTTAATTATTAAAAATAAGATATGATGATAAACATATTTATAATATATTAATAATTAAATATATAATATTTTCGATAGAACAGAAGAGAAAAAGGAAAGAAAAGATAAGAGCAGTCGATTGCATTACATTTGATAGAAAGTGTCGTTAAACATCGTATAGCTACGGCGAGATCGATGTCAGGCATTCAATTTCCTGGTTCGACGAGCAAGGTAATAATTAGCAGCATTTGAAAATGAAACACGAAGGGGGTAATTTATAATGTGACTGATAGAGGGTGAATGACAGTGAATGTCAGTTCTCTGTTAGTTTTGGAGAGAAAGGAAAATATTCGATTCATCAAACAGAAATATCTCCTTTCGGTTTATTATTTGACATATTCTGTCATTGAAGTTAACAATTAACAATTTTCTATCTTTTTCTTGTAATGAATAGTAAACTAGTGGCTCACGAAAATATTCGAACCAGAGCAAATATAGAACAATAGAAGAACTGATTTATACATATATAAAACGTTTGAAAAATTAACACGTTGATTGTTGAAAAACAGTTTAAAAACTGTGGTATTTAGAAATATTATTGTTATGTCTATGACACAAATGTCATTATCAAAAATGACGTGGAATAAATAACCTTTAAACAATTTTCCATTTCAGTGAAGTCTCTGAAATAAAACGAGAAATCATTTCGACTTTGATATTAATTTGAATTTTATATATATATAAATATTGCGCGTTACGTATATACATTTGAGACATGACGAATTTACAAATCACTATTATATTTCATGCAAATATTATTACTATTGTTATGTATTACGTACGTTATTGTAAACATTAATATTAATTTTTAAACACTGTAAGTTACGTATGTACATTTGTGACATGACGAATTTACAAATCACTATTAAATTATACACAAATATTATTACTATTATTATGTATTACATACGTTATTGTAAACATTAATACACGCAGGAAAGTCAGAAACGTGTCTATGCGTGAGAAACAAAACTAAAAAACCAATGTTTCAATATTAATATTAATGTGCAAGAAAAACAATAATCGAAGTCAAATTACCAAGAGCCATCAAATTACCATAAAAATTAATTTATGGACATCGAAAAATCAATCAAATCGTTTCTAAGATTCAACGGAGAAGAAACAGATGTACGAAGAGTCCATCCAATGTGTTTGCGCTCTCGGGAAGCTTCAGACGCGTTGTAAACCCTCGACTCAGTGGACGAGCAATTCGTGAACACGAAGATCATTTCCCCTTGGGTCTAATACTTCCGTTAACCCACAGCGCTACCTTCCTAACCGTCTAGTTATCAAAGTGGACAGACTGTCGGGAGGATCTTAGGGCAGACTACCGTGTCGGGTGTTGACCTCAGCTGTGTCACCGCTTGCATCTCGAAATTGCTTAGGAACTACGATACAGCAATGAGATTCCAATCATATTCTAAACAGATTCAATGCGGAGTTGGATCGGACGAGCAACAGGCTCGCTGGGACGCAGTCCGAGGCTCGAGCTGCTGGCTATAACTTTCGAGGATACGCGAGGAACAACTTTGTGAAAATATTTGACGAGAAATGAAATCAAACATTGGTGATGGTTTTTTTACGAGTACACAGTTACTCTTATTGACATTTGGACGTTAAATATTTAAATTATTATCATTTTGTAGGAAAAATTATTAAAATTATTTAATGATAAATTATTATAATTTTGTAGGAAGAATTACTGAAATTATTTAATGATAAATTATTATAATTTTGTAGGAAAGATTATTAAAATTATTTAATGATAAATTATTATAATTCTGTAGGAAGAATTATTAAAATTATTTAATAAATTATAAAATAAATTATAATAAATTATAATAAAAAAATATTAAATATATAAATTAATAATATATATAATAAAATAAAAAAATTACAATAAATTATTATAATTTTGTAGGAAAAATTATTAAAATTTTTTAATGATAAATTATTATAATTCTGTAGGAAGAATTATTAAAATTATTTAATAATAAATTATTACAATTTTGTAGGAAAAATTATTTAATGATAAATTACTATAATTTTGTAGGAAGAATTATTAAAATTATTTAATAATAAATTATTACAATTTTGTAGGAAGAATTATTAAAATTATTTAATGATAAATTATTATAATTCTGTAGGAAGAATTATTAAAATTATTTAATAAATTATAAAATAAATTATAATAAATTATAATAAAAAAATATTAAATAAATAAATTAATATTATATATTAATATAATAAAATAAAAAAATTATAATAAATTATTATAACTCTTAGGAAGAATTATTAAAATTATTTAATAATAAATTAATTTTGTAGGAAAGAAAATCGTACGGGAATAAATCTAAACTTGATTTAAAGTTTGAAGTCTCTACTTTCAAAATACATATACTTCATTTCATCAAGATCTTTATTATTTTATTCTAAGATTATTATTGTACGATTTCTATTTATACAATTACAACAGTTTCAATAGTGTTAAAATATTAATGGCAGTCACCGTACAACAATATTTGATTTTTAATTTAGATTATTATGTTATACTAATTGAAACATATAATTTTAAAATTACTGCATGTAATGCTGTATGCAAGGTGTGCAATAATATTTTATTTAGTCATATTGAATTAATTGTTTTTTTAATATATTGAAACTTTTATAATATATTGCTTTAGTTTAAAAATGTGAGTTTTATTTGTCCAATGCTCGTAGTTTTGAACATAAGAAACAATAATTCAATTTGGAGAGTAAAACAAGAAAATTGCGTTAATTCTATATAAATTACTAATATATTATATATATATATATACACACACGTGTGTGTGTGTGTGTCTAAAAAATTAAAATAAAGTTGATGTAACTTAATTATCTAAATTTATTTGCAACGTTTAAATTTCATCATTTTCTTTTATTGCTTCATAAGCAAAAAACTGGTTGCATTAAGCGAATGAAATTTATGTCTTTAATAATTACAAGAGTATTAATGTACTAAAAAACAATTTAATAGACTTATCATAAAAAAAGAATATGTAGTATAATAATCTTTTGAGTATTATCCTTTTGACTGTTATCCTTTCCATATTATTATTATAAAAAGTTATTCTAGGTTTTTATTTGAAATAAAGACGAGGAATAAGAATTTTAGATCAAGAAACATTTCAACCATTTCTATTATTTTTATTTCAAGAATAACACAAGAAAATTAATTCTGTACTTAAGATCAAACAAAAGATTTTCAAATAATTCTCCATATAAAATGTAACTGAATTATTTTACAATGCAAAAATTTATATTTTTTGTACCCATATTTGTACCCATATCATAAATGACACTGTGAAAACAGTTCTGACACAAGCATATATAAACAATTATTCTAAAATACAAGTGAACCTGTTTAAATTTCAGTTGTTATTCGCAGTTTTATTTCAACGAATCAGATTATTGAAACAGATTATTTGCAATTCATTCATTTGACACAAGATGCAACTACTTTCCAAATGAGACTAATTAAGTAATAGAAATAGATTTATTATTCATTTTCCATATCGAAGCATATTTGAAGATATACGTCTCTCTGGATTCATTTTCAAATCACGTTCATCTCGAAACTTGTCTTGGCACCGTGTATCATTTTCAAAATAATTTTTCCAAAATGTTCACTCCGAAAATTTTGATTTCCAGGGGAACGAATTTACACGGCGACTGGTACAATCGACAATGTTTCTCTTTAGCAAGGCAAAGGGAGGATCAAGCTACATAGCAGCGACACGTAACTGTCTGCATTCTTGCAACTTTGATGGGGAACAGTGTTATTCTCGAAAGTTTATCGTCACGCCTTGTGTGCACGAACCTTTATACAAGTTCTCGCAGCTGAAATTCCTCAACTAGCTGTAACTTTCGTTCATTCGTCACGCAAGTCATAGAAAGTTCGTTGGCCCATGATTATAAACAAATTATAATTAGGAAATGTCGATCTTCAACAAGAAACTACGTAGATATTGTAAATAAAATCACGCGCAGCTGTTTGTAATTAATTATTTAATTTTTAAAGTCAAACCAGTTGAGTGAAATTTAATTTTCTCGAAGCGAATGTCACTGTGACACGTGGGAAGATATTTTCGCGCATAATTTTAATAACGTTTAAA